TATTCCAAAGAGACAACAACCTGTGGGCGTCATGGTTTGGGTAGGTGTGTGCTCTGATGGGTCAAAAACTCCCCTTGTTTTTGTTCCTGAAGGTGTAAAAGTCAACCAGGTGACCTATGTCGACTTCATCAAAGCTAACCTCATTCCTTGGGCCAAAAAGAAGTTTGGGGACGATCCATGGGCCTTTATGCAGGATAGTGCACCAGCACACAGTGCAAAGAAAACTGTCAGCTTCTTGAAAGAAAATGCTCCGCACCTTTGGACCCCAGATATGTGGCCCCCTTCAAGCCCAGACATTAATCCTATGGATTTTGCTATATGGAGTGTCGTGGAGACCAAGAAGGCAGCCAAAACGAATTGAAGAAGATCTGAAGAATCTTAGTCCGGACATGGTTCGACGATGCTGTGAGTCAGTTCCAGAGCGTTTGAAGAGTGTCATTGATGCCAAAGGAAGCTACTTTGAAATTCATTAGTGTTTTTGAGTAAAAATATATGTGATTTGGTATTGTGAAAAGTTTTACTTTGAAAATAAAAGCCATTTTTGAGATATAAATATTTTTATTTTTCTGCGATAACCTGCGCACCCCTAAATATATATATATATATATATATATATATATATATATATATATATATATATATATATATATATATATATATATATATATATATATATATATATATATATATATATATATATATATATATATATATATATATATATATATATATATATGAAATTTTTAGTTTTTTAACGATAAAACAATGACGAAAAAAGATTTCGGTTTAGTTTTTTTTCTATTTATTAGATAAATACATACAGAATAAAAAATTTAAAAAAAGTTTACAAAAAAAATGAAATACTAAGTAATAATTAGGTACAACTACATGGTATTAAAAAAATTAGACAAAAAAAATTATTCATAAATTTAGACGCACGGTACATTAGAAGGCGTAATTTATAAACCAATCAATATTTTGTGTATCCGCCTTTTGCTTTAACAATACAACTAAGAACTCTTCTAGGCATAGACTCAACAAAATTTTTGCACATCGCTTCTGGGACCCCATACCAGGTTTCCTTAAGGAGTTTCTTCAGCTGACCAAGTGTGGAAATTTGAACCTTTGCTAATTCACGGTCAATCCAAGCCCAAATGTTTTCAATCGGGTTCAAATCAGGTGAGTATGAAGGCCACGGTATTGTCATGATATTATTATCGTTGAACCACTCCTTTGTATAGTATGCAGTATGTGCAGTAGCGCCATCTTGTAGAAGTTTCCATGGTTTATCATTGAGCATAAACAGGTCAATTGATGGAATTAGGTTGTTTTCCAGTACTTTTACGTATATTCTGGAGTTGATTCTTCCGGTGTATGTTTGGCACATACCAACATCTTTGTAATTAAAGCATGACCAGATTCCTATCGAGCCTTCTCCACTTTGTACAGTCGGTCTAATGTACCGGGCGTAATACTTTTCGTGGCCATTCTTTTGACTGTTATGTTAGTTTTGCGATTGATAAGCTCAAAGTTACTCTCATCACTCCACATAATGTTTTCCCATTATTCTATTGTCCAATACCTTCTTTCACGACACTATTTTAGTTTCCTTTGTTTATCATATGGACGCAGAAGTGGTTTCTTCAAAGCAGTGTAGACTCCTATCTTGTATTTGATAAGTATTCGGCGGACTGTGCTTTGAGATATAGATGTATTTCGCGTTGTATTGAATTCTGTGGTCAATTCTTTGTAACTAATTCTTGGATTAGCTCTGACAGCTCTAAAAAGAACACTATCGTCCTTTCTGGTGGTTGACAAGGGTCTACCTGGCCTCGTTTTCTCGTTGGCACCACCAGTGTAAAGAAAGTTTTGTTTCGTTGTCCGAACGCATTTCTCAGAAACTCCAATTAACTTGGCAATTTCTCTATTAATTTTGGTTCCTTCTTTGATGTGCGCAATAATTTGCCATCTTCCACCTTGAGTCTTTTGCCCATTTTTCGCGTCTTTTTAGCGCAAAACTAACTTAACTTTTGTTTATTTATTAAATAATGATTAACTAATTCCAGGTAAGTAATATTTATATAAGGTTTTTTTGACAAAATCAATTAATTTAGGCCTATGAAAAATATGGGAAAAAAACTACTAATTAACTATCAATTAACAAGATATAAGACTTTTTTGATTGTGCGTCTAAATTTATTAACAAAATAAAATCAAGCTTATCAATTAACTTTTTGTGTTAATCGGTATAGAATGAGTAATAAACATCCTGTAAATAAATTAAGATACTCTATAATAGTTTCACTTCCTCTTTTAAATTATATATCAAACATAGCGGTAGCGCTTTTATTTTTTTATTTTTAGTATTTTCTTACATATATGAAAAAAAAAATGAATGCGTCTAAATTTATGAAAGCTACTGTATATATAGTTAACTTGGGAATTAATGATTTCAAAGATTACTTTATTGTTTAAAAAGCGGATAAATAGATTTATTTTGTTTTGGTGTATATAATTTGACATCTTGATTTTAAATAGAGAGTGTATATATAGTTTTTACTATACTTGGAGACATTAAAAACTGATTTAACCGCGTTCCTTCCAAGTGTGTCAAGTCTTTCATTGTTGACTCTTTATTTTCACAGAGCTCTAGACCGTGGGTTAGCGTCGGAACTGCTTATGATTCATATAATTGGATAATAGACCTCGGATATGCAAAAGGGATTCCAGATTGAATCAGAGTTTGCACCGTTACCTGGAAATTTGATACTCTACTGTCAATATTCATTCTATTTAGTGAATTAAAAAAAAAATTAAATTTTTGTAGCCCAAGTAAAGCCGAAATAACTGTGATTCTTTGCAATGACATCGCAAATGGCGGACGCTTTTTTCAAACGGATAAAAACAACTTTTTTAGAGAGGAAAAAAGAAAGAAAATAAAACATTTATAAATTAAGCCAATAATAAAATCAACTAAAAATAAATATTTTAAAACAAGAAAAGATCATCTGAAAGAAAATAAATAAAGAAGTATAGAAAATAGAAGTAAAGAGAAAAAGTTAATGAATGAAATAAATAAAAAGAATGGAAAAAAAGGAAAAAAAAAACTTTATGCATCGAAAAAAGATCGGAAAGTGAAGATTTTTATTTTTTCATATATTTCTTTTGTTTTATTTCATATATTTCTTTTGTTTTATTTCATATATTTCTTTAGTTTTCTTTCATATTTTTTTAGGATTCTTTGTTTACGATTTCATTTTTTATTTAAGCGGTCTTGTAGTAATGATTTTTCTTTAGTTTTTTAGCGTATAAAAATTTACTTATTATTTTTTGTTAGTCATTTATTGTTTTATTGTTTAGTTATTTAATTATTTTTAAATAGTGATATCTAATTTTTTATAGTGTTATATATTTTTTATTTTTATTTTCGTTTTAAGCATTTGTTATAAATCTTTTATTCTACCGTGTATTATTATTACTTTTTTTTTTCTTTCTTTCTTTATTATTTCTAATTTATGTTGTTCTTTTCTTGTAGTTGTTGATGTTGTTTTTTGTTTTTATTGCCAAATGAGCTTAACGTAAATTTTTGTTTTGCTTGTAATGTTTGTTGTAACTTTTGTTTTGCTTTGATTTTCTCAGTATTTTTCTTTTTTGCATTCTATTTATTTGCTTTGTCATATTATTTGCAATATATTTTGGTTATTATATTATAAGAAAAATATATTTACTAAATCTGTATAATTTTAGCAGTGGTTGTTTTTATGTCATCGTTAGTTGTTACGTTTTGTCAGTTAATTACTGTTTGTAACTGTAACTTTGTATGTAATGACGATTGTTGTATGGAAAATTTTACTGATTTATTTAAATTATTTTAATTAGTATATTATTATTACTATTGTTAAAACAAAATGTTATTATTATTATTTATTATTATAAATATTATCTTTATTATTATTACTATTTTAATCTTTATCATTAGGTGTTTAAGTTAGTAGTTTATACTATTTGTAAACAACCTTGAAATGTATGTAAGACCAAATATTTCAGAAAATATATATTGATATTGATACTGTATCAAAAGTTTTGGCGAATTTATTACAAAATCTTGTATAAAACCTAAAAACAATTATAATCTTTGTATTGGCGAATTTATTACAAAATAAATTCGCCAATACAAATTTTAACTTTTCTACCTGACCGTTGCTTCATTCAAACAGACACTTGAAAAATATTTTATTTTCAATTGAAAACATCTACATTTATTTATAATTATTTTTTTGTATATTGTTTGGTTTAAAATTTTATCTTGGTTTTTAAATTTTTTTGGAAAAAGCGTATTATTTTTTCTACACTGTATTTTATCAAAAATTAACTGTGTATAGTAAAGGGCTTCATAACAAGATCTTCATGATCATCTACCTGTCTTTATTAATGTAAAATGTAAAATATATCTGGTTAATGTAATATTTTTAAATGGTAAAATATAAATTGAAAAAAAAAAAAAAAAAAGTTTGTCTTTTTTTTTTAATAAAACAGCACACCACTCACTGTGCACCAGAGAGACCGCCAGGTTTTTTGTCGTGGCACTCAAACCAAGTCCTTATTTTATGAAAGTATTATATATATTGTTTTAGAAAATATATTTCTTGAAATCGAAACGCGTTGCTATCATACCTTTTTTGATATAAATATATTATAAAATGGTTATAAAATTTCTTAATTTTTCGCCGGATCTTGACTTGAAAAAAATGTGTTTTTATCCTTGGAAACCACTGATAGATATTTTTTTAATGGAGGTAACAAAATTTATTTTGTAAAATATATTGTTTAATATAATAGTTTAAAAATAAAATTAAATATGTCAAAAATAAATTTTTAACAAATTTTTATATATAGTTAACTAAATATAAGCTATTTATTATATTAATTATACTGTAACCTCATATTAGATGGGCTTATAAATTTAATTACCCCCTGTACTAACAAATCAAAAAAAATTTAGAGATTAAAAAGATGGTAGTATAAAAATTTTCAAATTGCGGAAGGTCGTGCTACTTAGGAGTTGTAATTCTTTCACTTAAAAATGAATTCTACTTGTTGCTGTTGCTGGGAAAAGTATGGCGAAAGATCAAAATCATTGAAAAAAATGAATAAAAACTTAGAAGAACAAATTCAAATGTTTATCTTTCCTGGATATACGATGAACAACGATTGCAATCCATCAGTTGTTTGTCCTGGTTGCCGAAGAAATCTTTACAGACTCAAAAAGGGAGACTCACCTCGTGGTGAATGGGGAGCTAAGGTTACCAAGGTAGTTTTAATGATTTTTTCCATTTTTTTTCCTTTTTTTCTTTAGTTTATTTATAAATGTATATTTATTTAGGTAGAGTGGAAAACCCTTTTGAGAAATAGCCCCAGAACCAGTCTAACTCTTCCAGATGAGATAACTAATTTTCCGACAACTAAGTCAAGTATACGTTCTTTTTGCTATTCATTGCCTGCACCTGGTTATTCTCATAACTGTACACCCACCAGTCCTGTGGCAAATATCATTACACTGTCATTTCTTCTAGGTTCTCTTCAAGCTGAACAGGTAAAAAAAACTATATTTTGTTTATAAGTTTTTAGTTTTTTATGCAAATTTCATTTTGTGAAAACTTTACGTAGGTTGCTTCTGGAATTATAAAAAGTAAAATGGCTACAGAAAGTTTGGTTGACGGATCAACATTTTGTTTATCTACAGGAGGAAATCCGCTAAAAGTCACAGTTGGTATACCAGAAAACAAATCAAAAAGGACTTCTATTAAGCAGCTTTCCATCGAAATAATAAAGCAATTACAAATTGTGTTAGAACTTTCAAATAGAAAAACAAAAGAGATGCTTTCTACTTTACGCAAAGGTTTAGGAAATAAGCTTTCCATTGAGCCTAATATTTTTGGTCGTCTTTCTGAATTAGAAGAATATATTTCTAATTATGAAGGAATATCTACATTAAATTTAGGGACAAAACGAACTCTTGGCAGTATTGATTATTGGTACAATAAATATTTAGAAAATAACTCAGTAAAATCATCCATGCAAGAGTTTATGAACTGCATCAATTCTCGAATTTTATATATTAATTTAGATCCAAATACTTTAATTGAGCAACTCATTCCTCCACCTGAACTTCATTTGTTAATTGGTTTTGTTTCACTGCTTGGAAATTTTTTGTTAGATGTCTGGCCAGGATTTGATGATTGGCTAAAGTCAAAAAATGTTATTCAGCGAGGGTACCAAGGCAGAGGCTGGGACGGAAACAATTCGAATAAAATATTAGAAAATCTTGATTCTCTTGAAACACAAATTTTAGAAACATTTACTTGTTTGATTCCAATTGTACAGTGTTTGAGAGATTTTAGAAATGTAAAAAATTGTTGCTTTTCCAGCAATTTACAAACTGGCTTCAAAGAAGCAATAACAAATTTAAAGAATTCATTTCTTTCCGCACAAGAAGTTGCAGTAAATTTAAATAAACAAATAAATACAACATGGAAAGTCCACATTCTACTGTGTCATGTACAGCCATATGTGGAACACCATAACAAAGGATTGGGTAACTTTGCTGAACAATGTGGAGAAAGTATTCATGCAAAGTTTAAGCCAACATGGACAAGGTTTAAGAGACAAATAGAGCATTCCGAACATGGTGACAGACTATTATCAGCAGCAGTTGATTTTGGAGCAAAAAGAATTTGATTTTGTTTATAAATTTATTTATATAGTTATATGTATATATGTATATTTATATTGTGTGTGTGTGTGTGTGTATATATATATATATATATATATATATATATATATATATATATATATATATATATACATGTATGATTATGTTATAAATGTACAGTTTTCTGAGCAATGCAGATAGTTTGTTTCAAATTTGAGTATACAAGAAATAGTTCTGAGTGTGTAGACAAAAACATTTAATACGTAGATCGACTCAATAGTTATTTTTAATCAAAGAAGAGTTAAATTTATCTGTATCTTTGACATATTGCTCTGGAGCAGGATGAAGAATTGTTCGTATTTTGTTGAATTATATACAATATTTTGATAAATATTTTGATTTTTTTTTTGTTTGTTTATACTTTGTTTAAAATATTTGACATTTATTTTTAAAAATTATTGTAACGGGCATCTCAAATGTTTAAATGGGCATAGGGCCCCTTCATTTTATCCTTTGCCTCATTTACGACCCTTGACTTTTTTTTTTTTAAAAAAAAAAAGGTTTTTTCTATTTTTATTAAACAAATACTTTTGAATTAAAAACTTTTTTTTTGTAACTTGCAACTAGCATACCTAAATGGGCTTGTGCCCCCCTTGTATTTACCCTTTTGCCCCATTTATGACCCTTAGCGATTTGTTTGGATTTTAAAAATCATTTTTTTTATTGTTATAATACAAATACTCTTGAATAAAAAAGGTTTCATTTGAGTGCCACGACATAAAACCTGGCGGTCTCTCTGGTGCACAGTGCACTCGGAATTATGTAGTACGATCGATTTATAATTGTAAATGGAATTGCGATACTATTAGAAAATTTCAGCAAAACTCTTGGGTGCAATTTTTCCAGTAAACTTTATTCACATTTAACTTTCTTAACTTTCTAATAACGATGATTATTTGGGTTTTTTTTTGTTATTGTTTTTTTAATGCCACCAGTTGCATTTTTTTTGTTTTTTTGTTTTGAATATTAATTTTTTTTTTCAGATTTTATTTTTTCAAATACATTTTTTTGTTTTTATTTTTCTAAAAAACGATTTAACTGATAAAATATTTCTGATTTTTAAACTTTTGGTTTTGTATCAGAGCAAATTTAAGATGTAAATAAGATATAACTGCTAAATAAATAAGAATAGATTACTAAATAAATTAATGAACAGCTTTATGTTGATTAGAAACAAACTAATATCTTCAGAAAGTTGTTATACCCACAAATAAAACAAGTATGTTTCATTTATATATCTTCACAAAAAAATTACTATCTTCGTTTAGTTTTTCTTGCAGGTTCTTTGTTATTACCCCAACTAAAAAAAAATTTTGGATTCGATACACATTTTAAATAATTTAAATCGTAAACAGAATATTTAACCATAAAACATGAAAAGTATACTTATCAAACAATCGATTCATTTCTTTTTCAGCTTCTTCTTCTCTATCATTTTCCTGTATCAAAAACTAAAGTATTACAACAACAACAAAAACAATGAAATTCAAAATCAAAACAAAAAAAACCTCTCTAAAGTCATCAAATAAATCTTGATTTTCATTGACATTTATGTAAACAGTTAAATCGTTTCTTCCTATAATATCTCGGGTAGACTTATCGCAACCAACATAACGTTGCTAAAAAACATCACACTAATTAACAATTAGTATGAGATAAGTTAGTTAATAAAATCTCTGAGCAAAATACCTTTCGAAAGACTTTAAAATTTTTAGGCTTTTTTAAAGAGCCTGGATAAGGGAAGTCGATGCTTTTACTTTTAACAGAATTTACCACCAGTGAGACAAACGATATTTGCATGAGATGATCTAAATTAGGATCTGCATCTTCTTCTTTTTTAACTGAACTTTTCTAAAAATATAACCAAGTTATAGTCAGTTTTTTTTATTTCCCTTTTTTTTTCGTCAAGTTTTTATGTATAAAAATGATTAAAATATTGTATGTAAAAAAAGAAGATAAATATACAAATACTTTATTTAGACAAGATGTGTATAATTTGTTATTAATTTTTATCATGGAAAGTTCATCGTCTATCAAGACACTCTCATAAAATAAGCGTTCTGTTTGTAAGTTGATTTGAGATTCTGTAGAATTTTTTTCTTCACACTGTTTTCTGGAACTAATATTATAATTAGATTTTGAGTCTTCGTTATGATAAGTTTTACCAAACCAAATATTTCCAGAATTTTTATTTTTTTCAGAAGATTTGGTACTTTGAGGTGAGTGAATTAAACTCCTTTCTTTATTTACATTATCAACACTTAATTCTTTTTTTCCTAATTTTTTTGGTAAATCCACTTCTTTCATAAAACTCAGTTGACTCTCTACCACTTTTGAAAAATTGCAATCTACATTGTCAAATTCATCATTTTGATCAATGATTTGTTCAGTATCTGGAATAACAAATTCTTCATTAAAAACATTTGTAACTTGTAATTGAGACTCGTCAAATAGTTCTTTTTTATTGTTTACCATATGTGCTGTATGCGTTGATGTTACATGTGTTAATTTTAGTTGCATTTTGTTAGACAAATCACGAAAAGAGCAGTTATCACCAACAGTTACAGAATTATTATTTATCACGCTCTTATCAAAAATTGAATTTTGTAATAATTTAGATTCTGGGATAATAGATTCCGTAATTAACTCACTGTCCACTTTTGATTTATTCACATTAATTTGTGCATTTTTATTAACAGATGCATCATTTTTATTAACAGATGCATCAAATATTTGAGAGCAATCCCAAAAATCGTTTTTCGATTCGCCAAAGTCATTTTTCGCTTTAGAAGTGACTTTTTTAATTTTAATGCTTGGTTTAAAGTTAAAAAAATTGTCTTCTAAAGAAGCTTCACTGAAAGAAGCATCATCTTCATCAATAGAAACAATATTTGTAACTTTTGATTTAAAAGTCTCGGGTGTAATTTCTGTTGTTAAAACTTTTAATTTCTTGATAACTGGAAAGTCTTGTTTAGTTTCTTGCTCGGATGCTTTTCTTAAATAAAAAAATATTTATTATAGTTAATATTATACGGAAAATTTATTATAGTTAATATAATACGGAAAAAATACAAAAAACAAACAGTTCTATTTGTGTTAATAAGCAAAACTAATAATAATAACATTATAATTTCACTGACAGGAGGTAATCCACTGTTATTTAGGGTGGTAGCCCTCCTATCCAGTAATCCAAATGGTTAACTTGCAACTAGGTGATTTCAATACTTACAAATGTGAGCAAGAAGCAATAATCGTAGATTTAAAAAAGTTAATCAAAACTTTAAGAACAGATAATGCAAACTTGACTAAGAGAGTTCTGGATTTAGAAAATTCTAAATCAAAATCTAGTTCAGCAGTGAAAGGTGATTGGGCTAGTAAAGTAAAAAAAACTCCAGATCAAATGCAAATTATTAATACTATCGTAAATGAAACCAAAGAAAGAGATAAAAGAGAAAATAACTTGGTTATTTTCGGTTTAGAGGAATCAACATTAAGTGATAAAGTCAAAGCTATCGAAGAAGATAAACAAAATATCGAAACAATCATGAAAAAGTTGAAGGTCAATGTCAAAATAAAAAATGTTATCAAATTAAAGTCAAAAAATGGATATAAAGCTCCATATATTGTTGTTTTAAATGATAAATTGGAACGTAATTCTGTTTTAAAAAATGCCATGGAATTGAAGAAAGGTAAAACATACGAAAGTGTATTTATAAATCCTGATTTGACTGAATCTGAACGGTACAAATCAAAGCTATTAAGAGAAGAGTGTAAAAAACTAAATAATGACAATATTAACACGCCAAACTTTTACTTTGGTATTAGAAATGACAAAGTTGTAAAAATAAAAAAATAGCAACTAAATGCCAAAAAAGACTTAAACCACATTCGATGCTTTAACTATGAAGCTAACAATAAAATAAATCTGTTTAGTGGTGGAGGTCAAAATCTTAACAAGTTGCTGAGCAATAAGAGACAGCTAGGTATTGAAATAGTAAACTTTCATGAGCGTAAGAAATGTGATTTAAGTATAAACAAGGAGCACGATACTCAAAAATGCAATGAACTGATGATTTGGTATACAAATGCAACGTCTCTGAATAATAATAAGATTGACGAGTTAAGGTTACAATGTGAAATATATAAACCAGATGTTATTTGTGTTACAGAAACTTGGTTTAAAGCAGAATCAGATGTAAATATAATTAGTTATAATATTTTTAGAAGTGACTTCAACTATAATACAATAGATTGGTCTGATAATAATTGTCCTTTTTCAGCAACTGATAATGAATCTCAAACTAATAAATTTATTGAATGTCTTGAAGATTGTTTTCTCTTTCAATGTGTATGTAAACCAACATTCCAAATATCATTACAATTATGCAACTAATCTGTTTATCCCAAGAATTAATTAACAAAATAGAAGGAACAGAAACAAATGGATTACTCCTGAATTGAAACATAAAATAAGAACTAAAAACAATATATGGCTTGCTAATAAACGTAATAGCTGGAATGAGGAATCAACAAAAATTTATTATAATAAGCTAAAAATTAGAATAAAGAGTGATATTAAGAACAATATAAAACAATTAGAAAGTACTTTAGCTAGCAAGTTTAAATTCAAATCCTAAATTGCTTTATAAATATATCAATTAGAAGAAATCAGTGAAAATTCAAATTCGAGCTCTGGAAATTGATAATGGGGAATTCATAAATGATCAATTCGCTATAGCTACTGAACTAAATAATATTTTCATTCTGTGTATGTTAATGATAATTGTACAAGTATTATTGAGTTTCATAATATACCTTCAAATTTATTATTAAACACAGTTTTAATAACACAAAATGATGGTCAAACTAGACTTCAAGCACTTGATAAGTCAAAATGCAGCTCATCAATATCATACCCATTATATTTAATTTTCAAAAAATCGATGGAAACAGGTACCCTACCAGATATGTGGAAGAAGGCAAAAGTAATACCACTTTTTAAAAAAGGAAGCAAATTAAAAGCATCTAACTACAGACCAGTCTCGTTAACTTCAATACCATGTAAAGTGTTAGAAAGAATAATAGCTGATTGTATCATGCAACATCTCATAAAAAATAATTTACTTTCAAAAAAACAAAATGGTTTTATGAAAAGCAAGAGCTGTACAACAAACCTATTAAAATACCTAGATATTTTAACAGATGCGTTCCACAATAGAACACCGGTAAATGTATTGTACACAGATTTTAAAAAAGCTTTTGATAGTGTTTCACATAAAAAGTTATTATCCAAGTTAATGACTTTTGGTATTTCTGGTAAACTTCTTAGGTGGATAGTCTGTTATTTAGCTAACAGAAAACAAAGAGTGGTTTTAGGTGAAAGTGTGACAGATTGGGTTGATGTACTTAGTGGTGTACCACAAGGGTCTGTTCTAGGTCCTCTCCTTTTTTGGTATTTATAAATGATTTACCAGAAAATTTTATTAATGAATGTCGTTTATATGCTGATGATAATAAGATAATTGCGCCTATTTCTTCTCAAAATGATTTACAGTTGTTTCAAAATGATATAAATAAACTTGACGATTGGTCAACAAAATGGAAATTAGGATTAAATTTTGAAAAATGTAAAATTATGCACTTTGGTTCAAATAATAACGAATATTCATATTTTATGAACAATAACAATACATAAATGGAAATTAAAAAGTCAAAACTAGAAAAAGACATTGGTGTTTATATATCAAGTGATTTAAAATGGGCCAAACAAGTAAAATATGCAGCTAGTAAAGCAAATAGTATGCTCTCACTACTAAATAATACATTCAAGTACAAGGATAAAGATCTAATAAAAACACTGTATTGTACATGTTAGACCAAATTTAGAGTTTCCAATTCAAGCATGGAGTCCGTATTATGCAAAAGATATTAATGAACTAGAAAAAGTCCAACAAAAGGCTACCAAAATGATACCGGAGCTAAGACATCTTGAGTACAAAAAAAGATTGGAAATTTTGGGTTTTACTACTTTGGAGACTAGAAGGCTAAGGTGCAACTTGATCCAGCAATTCAAAATATTTAAAGGTATTGAAATCATTGATATTAAACAAAATCAAACAATGAACTCTATTTGCTCATCAGGTCCTGCAGTTAACATTAGAGGAGCAAAACATCAAATGAAACCTGAATTGGTCAGAAATTATTTGAAAAGGCAATATTTTTTCAGCAATAGAGTTGTTGATGGATGGAATAGTCTACCAGTCGAAGTTGTTCAATCTACTACAGTTAAAAGCTTCAAATTTAAACTTTCAATCGGTCGACTTAGAAGCAATAACAAACAAGATAAAAACCAAGAAAGCTTATTATTAAAGTTTTTATTATTTAGTGACTGAACTAACTTGTTTATTAATTAATTTATACCGGCTGTCATAGATATTGCCTGGCACTTTATCTCAACAGCATTAATTATTATTATTATTATAAACATTGCTCTATAATAGAACAATATTTAATTTAAACAACAATTTTAAAAAAACTCTTAATTACTCTTAATTTTTTTAAAAAATGTTACGAATAAAAAAGCATAAAAAACACTAAAAAATATATTACTTGGTTACTTAAATTTTGATTGAATGATGTTTATACTTTATTCTAATTATTTATATAAAAACAGATTTTGCTTAAAAAAAAATTTATTTTGTCATAGTGTTAAAAATATTATAACTGTTTCTTGGTAATTTTAGGACGCTAAATCCAAAAATGACATGTTTTTTTTTCGCTAGCTCTGCAGAAAGTGTTTACAAATTCATGTGAATGTCATATTTATAAATACCTTTAGACTTTACCCTTAACACACAAAAAAGTGTACTTTTAATAAGTCATATCGCATAGTGAAAAAAGGTAAGGAAAATGAACTTTAAATACACAGACACATAATTTTAAATACACAGACACATAACTGATGTGATTACCAATCCCCCTGTAATAAATGATGTGTTTACAAATCCCTCGTAGTAACTGATGCGTTACCCAATGTTACTTGTTTATAAATACCTCTTTCTGTTATCACTGAAGTTTGAACTTTCACTAGACTAAAAATAAAAATAAAGATAAATTAAAATCGTTATGTAGAGAATATAAAGCAAAGAGGCAAACAATTATTAGATTAGAAGAAAAAAAAATTTATATATATTATTTATACCTCCAACAAGATCTGTGATTCTTCTCGAAGTGTTTCTGAAGCCAAAGTATCAGTTATTAACTGCGAATGACTGGTGCTTATCTTCGGAGCTGAAACAAAATCATCACTTATAAAATCTTGCACTTCTAGAAAATAAGGAAGAATGAGATTTAATTTTTTACCTTTATTTTATTAGATAACATTAAGGCAAACTTGAACCAAAGAAAGGAAATTTAGGACAGATACCAATGAAGGGGGTTTTAATATCTATTTAAATGCTTCTAATGTAATCCAAAATATAAACCAAGTTTTCAAAAAATGATATATGGATTAGTAACAATCTTAATATTACAAATTAGTACATATCTTACTGTTTTACAAATTCATACATATCTTACTATTTTACTTATTTGAATAGTAAAAAGATTTTCTCACAAACATTGTGTTTTTTAATTTTGAAAATGAGAATTTTTAACTGAGTCAATTTATTTGGTTAAGTTGAGGCTGAATGAATTAGGTTGAATGAGGTTATTCACAATAGTTAGTCTTTCCATGGGTCAACAATAATTCAAGTAAAATTACATTATTTAAAAAACTGTTTACTGATAAATTTCCACTTCTTTATTTTTTATTTTTTGTCTTATAAAAAAATTGCTAATAATTAATAGCAATCTTTTTTCTTGCCATTTTTAAAAGTAAATCTACACAAAAGTAATATTTGTATAGTCTCGCCCGAGTAATGTTAAACCAGTTTTTATCAATTTTAAACTTTAAGTTTAACTTTGAGCAGCTAAATACTAAGTGCCTAAATACTAAGTTTTAATTTAATTGTTTGTTATTCTAGTGTTTGTGTTCTATTATTTTATTGTATGTTTCTTATTCTATTGTTAAGTATATTTATTTGAAAACAATAAAATAAATTTCTACATGTAACATTTTCTAAGCATTAGCATAGAGCTAAATGGGAAAAGACTAGGGTCCCAGCCAAATATGGGTTTTATTACAACCTCCGCCCTGGCTAAGATATTTTATATATATATATAAGATATATATATAAGATATATATATAAGATATTTTATATATATATATGTCTTGGACAGCCTTGGACATAACTCCAGCCCAGCCCTGGCTATGGTTTATCAAACCCAGCCCTGGCCCTGGTCAAATATTAGCATAGGTCACTTACTAGAGCCAAACAAAATCATCATCAACATCAACATCATCATCATCATCATCATCATCATCATCATCATCATCATCATCATCATCATCATCATCATCATCATCATCTTGGTATTCATCATCAAGAAACTAACAACCTTTTGCATTAGTAGGGTTGCAAAAAGACTGAAGAGAAGCATATAAAATGGCAAGACCAATTTCTGATTCACGTATAGGACGAAGGGAGTGGCTGAAATCAAAATAATTTCAATAAATAATCAATTTATATAAAAACTATATAATCATCAATTACATAGAAATTTTAATAAAAACTTTTCAGGCAATTAGTGGAAATGCTATTATCAATTCATTCATTTTTACAGTAAATTTTATAGCATAAAATAGGTTTTTTTAAAAAAAATTAATACCTTTTTAATTTACGATAAACAACTTGTTTCCAATTATTTTCTTCATTTGAGGCAGATAAGTCATCTTTTTTTTCTGTCTGTAAAACCAGTGTTTGCATTGATGACAATGACTTTGTAATAGCTGTGTCATGTTTAGTTTTAAGAATAACATTGCCACCAGCCAACTCAAAAGCTAGCCTAATACGCATACACTAAAAAGCAAACAAAAAAAAAACATGATTTATTAACATTTATCTTTTTATATTTTTTATACTATATTTATTTGTGTGCGTGTGTGCGTGTATATATATATATATATATATATATATATATATATATATAAATATATATATAAATATATATATATATATATATATATATATATATATATATATATATATATATATATATATATATATATATATATATATATATATATATATATATAGTCTTGCATGTCTCTTGCGTAGCATCAAAAAATATTTCCCATAAACTGTAGTTTTAAAGAGCGCGTTAATAAACCAGACCAGAAAAAGTTTTAAAAATTAATTTTTTTTTTTTAATTGATAGACTGCCTGGCCAAACCAAACCCTCAGTCTATGTAGCAGCACTCTCTTGCGAGTCAGGCTATTTGTCAGTCGTTGTAGCAGCACTCCCTTGCGAGTCAGGCTATTTGTCAGTCGATGTAGCAGCACTCCGTTGCGAGTCAGGCTATTTGTCAGCCGATGTAGCAGCACTCCGTTGCGAGTCAGGCTATAAGATAGTCGATGTAGCAACATTTACGCATGTTTAAAAAATGTTTTTTATTAAATCAATAACAAAAACACCACTAATTAAAAAAAACTTTCTAGTCGTTATAATTGCGGTTTTTTAAAAATTTTTTAAAAAACAATTAAATTTAATGTACTTCCGCATAAATTAATTGCTTTGACATTTCGATGACAATCAAAAACAGCTTAAGAGACGAGGTAATTAAAATTGTAGTCGTAAGAGACTTTTTTTACATTAAAATGCTCTTAAAGCGACACTATATGAGTATATATATATATATATATATATATATATATATATATATATATATATATATATATATATATATATATATATATATATATGTATATATATGTCAGGGCCTATTCTAGAAAAAAAAAATTGAGCAGTGTGACCCCCCTCCCTCCGAGCTGTCCCAAAAAAAATTAAAAACAGATAATCAGCGTTTTTTCGCAACAAAAAAACAATATTTGCCATAAAAACGTAAAAATAATAAAAAAAAAGGTCCTCAATTTTTATTTGGGCTGTGCCCTAATGCAGTCGCCGTATGTTGCATTTATATACTCTTTCTCTCTCTCTCTCTCTCTCTCTCTCTCTATATATATATATATATATATATATATATATATATATATATATATATATATATATATATATATATATATATATATATATATATATATATATATATATATATATATATATAAGTATATTTATATAAACTTTTGTATATATGTATATATACACTTCTGTATATATATATAACCATATTTTTTAATTTAAAAATTTTTTTAATTGCAAATATCTCTTTTATGAAATTTTCATAAAATAGTTCTATATTTGTTAGCATGTAAGCAGCTATAATTAAAAATATAGCTGCTTACATGCTTATATTATTGTTTTTAAAATTTAATATACTTTATCACACATCAATTGCTAAAAACATCTGGAAATTTCTTGAAACTTAAAAAAGTTTTAAGAAAATCATCGAGTGGACAATGTAAAGTGTAGACATGTAGATCTTTTATACTATATACATATATAGCTTACAGAAATATGTGTATGTAGTAAATGCAGAGAAAAATTTTGAAATATAAACTTTTTAATATTAAACCAGATATTTTTCGAAGTTTAATTGTGTAATAGAGAAATAAATAAATAAATGCATAAAAGTAAATGCTGTAAAAATTAGCAATTAAAATGTATTTGTGAATGATGCTTGAGAGAATAAATCATCCCAATAACAGTGATTGATTTTGCTTAGCAAAAACATGTTTCTGCAAAGTATACAAATGATAAAAGCATATTTAAATATATACACACAGAAACAAACACAAATACATGAAATACAAATAACTGATGAAAATATTCTGAATTTCTTAAAAACTCATTTTAAAACAAAATAAAAATAAAAATAAAAAATACTAAAGTACTGCTAAAATGGTATACTGGTATAATGCTATAATGGTATATCACAACTGATGCTACCATTTTTTTTATCAAACTAAAGCATGCAACTTGTGATTTTATCAACTAGAATCATTTTTTTTTCTGAAGTGTTATATCATTTACATAAAAATGTTTATTGAATAGTTTTATCTTGGTAACTAATATTTTCAAAATGTCAGCAAACTTTGATTGATATCATTTTCAATTCGGTTCAAATATATCTCTTGCAAATTCACAACAAAAAATTGAAACTTATCACCCAGACCAAATCTGTTTTTGGCGTAACCAAAAGCCTTAAACCTCAAGTTCTTCAAATTAGACTTTAGTCACTAAATATTTTAACTAAAATAGGAAAGCATAAAAAATTAAAATATTTAAGACAAAAGGTCAATGCATTTAATTAAAACATTTAAAGCAAAACCTTGCAAAAAAGAAAAAACCTTATTGTTAATAATGACTAGAGTTAACTTTAACACCTATGTAATTTAAACTTTATTTAAACAGATAATAAATAATAATAACAGATAATAAATAATAATAAAGTATTATAATAAAATATGTAGAAATACAATAATACAAATAGAAAATAAATGACAGAGTTCATAAATTTTTCACTAAGACTTTTTCTCCACAATAACTATTCCTGTGATCTATTTACTCAAAGATAACTTATTGCTAGCAAAAACACTTTGTACCCTTGCAAAAACATTCGTACATAATTTACCCTCAACAAATTTGTTACAATCCTATATAAAATGCTATATAATCAAATCTAAAGTGAATAACCTGTATTTGTGGTATTTATTTTGAGCATTGGGAAAATATTTAAAGCGCCATCATAAACGTGCTAGTGTTAGATGGGAAAAAATTGAATTTTTCCATAATAAAAAGGTAAACAAATATCTAAGTATAATAATCAAATAGTAAATTTATAATAAACCTAAAATAAAACAAAATTAATATATTAAGATAAATTTTATTAAAATGTAATTTGTAAATACATAAAATATATACCAATACATAGAATGAATAATACAAAATATATTTTGTATAATAAAATTTTTTGAAAAATTAACATCTGCTCCTTAATGTGTTCAATATAATAAAATAAAACTGATTTAAAATTTTCTTTTAAAGAATACTTTCAGGAGTTCCTACAGATCTTCAAACATTAAATGGGTTCTTAATAATATAAGAATTTTCCTTTATAAATTCTGAGAGTTCTAAAAACTTTTTACTATTTAATAAAATGTCCTTACTTAGTTTTCATTGTTATTTCTAAAAATAAAACTTAGTTTTCATTGTTATTTCTAAAAATAAAACTTATTTTTCATTGTTATTTCTAAAATAAAACTTAGTTTTCATTGTTATTTCTAAAATAAAACTTAGTTTTCATTGTTATTTCTAAAAATAAAACTTAGTTTTCATTGTTATTTCTAAAATAAAACTTAGTTTTCATTGTTATTTCTAAAAATAAAACTTAGTTTTCATTGTTATTTCTAAAAATAAAACTTAGTTTTCATTGTTATTTCTAAAATAAAACTTAGTTTTCATTGTTATTTCTAAAAATAAAACTTAGTTTTCATTGTTATTTCTAAAAATAAAACTTAGTTTTCATTGTTATTTCTAAAATAAAACTTAGTTTTCATTGTTATTTCTAAAAATAAAACTTAGTTTTCATTGTTATTTCTAAAATAAATTTAGTTTTCATTGTTACTTCTAAAAATAAAACTTAGTTTTCATTGTTATTTCTAAAATAAAACTTAGTTTTCATTGTTATTTCTAAAAATAAAACTTAGTTTTCATTGTTATTTCTAAAAATAAAACTTAGCTTTCATTGTTATTTCTAAAATAAAACTTAGTTTTCATTGTTATTTCTAAAAACAAATTTAATACAAAAAATATACTTGGCTAGAAGATAACACAACAAGCTGCTTGCCTTCCATCAATGATTGTCGTTTGAAATCTGGAGCAAAAAAACTTTCCATTTTTAAAAGACTGTTTTCAGCAATGGGCGGTAAATAGCTAAAAGTAAATATAAAATAAAATAGAAAGACTGTTTTCAGCAATGGGCGGTAAATAGCTAAAAGTAAATATAAAATAAAATAGAAAGACTGTTTTCAGCAATGGGCGGTAAATAGCTAAAAGTAAATATAAAATAAAATAGAAAGACTGTTTTCAGCAATGGGCGGTAAATAGCTAAAAGTAAATATAAAATAAAATAGAAAGACTGTTTTCAGCAATGGGCGGTAAATAGCTAAAAGTAAATATAAAATAAAATAGAAAGACTGTTTTCAGCTATGGGCGGTAAATAGCTAAAAGTAAATATAAAATAAAATAGAAAGACTGTTTTCAGCAATGGGCGGTAAATAGCTAAAAGTAAATATAAAATAAAATAGAAAGACTGTTTTCAGCAATGGGCGGTAAATAGCTAAAAGTAAATATAAAATAAAATAGAAAGACTGTTTTCAGCAATGGGCGGTAAATAGCTAAAAGTAAATATAAAATAAAATAGAAAGAGTATAAATAGCTATAACAATTATGAATTTTTCAAGTCTAAAAAAGAAGTTTAAATATCATTAAAAAACAAATGATAATTAGGTTCATAATAAAAACCTTTTCTCAAGAGGAATTTTTGCTTGCTTTTTATTACAGCTCTCAAACAAATCTTCAAAATATTTGGGTGTTACAATATACTTTCCAGATGCTAGAGCGCAAACTACCTTAACAACAATTATAAAAATCAATCAAATATTTGAAATTATATACAGTGGAATTTATTACAAAAAAAAATTGTTTATAATTAATCTGAATTCAATCAAAATCTTATAAACAAAAATTTTGTATTAAATATTTTGAGATACCAAATCTTTATCATTTAATGAAAAATTGATAATTATTTATATATTGAATAAATATTTATAGCATATAAAGAAGCTACAGATTATGACTAAAGAATCTACTAATTAAAAATGAAAAACAAACATCAAAATATTATCTACTCATTAAAAATAACTTTAAGTATAAAGCTGGAAATCATCAGTAACAATGTACCATATGTCTTATGTAGTTATGAAGTGAATATCTACCTCTTCTTGTGAGTGTATAATTGTGAGGTAGGTGGATAAATAACAAGAGATTTTAGGTTCAAATCCAAACCTGTTTCTTCATGCAGTGAATGTATAGATAGCATGTATGCTAAACCTGCTTCTTCCTGCAGTGGATGATTTGGAGTTTAAGGTTGAGAGAGAGAAACTATTAATTTATAAATTATTAATATATAATTTAGAAATTATCAACAAATTAAAGAAAAAAATAATTAAAACAAGTAGTCTCCTCAACTTTAGTGATCTCTGATTTGGGAAGGCGAGTTAAATTTAAAAAAAAAAAATTCAATATATAAATCAATTTATTGATTTAGAAATAAAGCATTTTTCAAATGTTTACTATTGCCATAGTAACTATCATTGCCATAGGAAAAATTTTATTAAACTGATTCAAATATCTTACCTTGATTGTAAAAGTGAGTTTTTCCATGATTAAATGAGTAGTATCCAGATTCCATTCACTCAAAATTTTCCCTCCTACCACAAAAATTTATTGATTCATGAAAAACAATTAATAAATGAATTAATAGTAAGCAAATAATAAATCTTTATATTAAAATTTAAAAATATATATTTTTAAAGCTTTTTTTTCATCTTCCTTATTTTTTCTGTAACAATGTAAATTTTTGATAAACAAAAACTTAATTTAGCAAACCCATTTAACACAATAAAAGTAGTTTAACTTATAAAACAGATTAAACTATGTTTTAACAACATATCACTGTTCATGACATACCTGTTTTAAAATAAAAATGAACAGTTTTTATAAACAATTTATTTGTTTATAAACTTAAATATAAAAAAGCAGTAAACATAAAAGACACAAAACACAGATGTTGTACTACTAAACACAGATAGTCAATTACAAAACACAAATATTACATAACACAAATCCACTAATCCTGTTATTGAGATGACTTAATGAGATAGTGTTTTCTTGCTACAAGATAAAGAGTTCCAGTAAATATAATTTTAACAATTTATTTTATAAAAACTTGTTAAACTTGTTTTTGCTAGTTCAATTTAAAAACCAATAACCAAAATAAGTTCACTTAATAATTGTTTTTAAAGTTTTAAAAATAAATTTTCTTAATTCATGACATTATAATTAATGAATTACGTTATTAACATTACGTGATTTCAGAAGCAAACAAAAAATTCTAATAAAACTCATTGAAAATTTAATTATAGTTTTCATGCACCCATCTTTCCTAACTTTTTTTTAATGTCATTATTCTAATCAAGGCTAAGGGGTCATCTTTTTAACTTTATGTAGATTGTGATGTATGTTATGAAGACTATTTGGCCTTCAACAAAACGGAACAAAAGGTGACAACAAAAGGTGAACTTCAACTAAAACAAAAGGTGAGCCTCAACTAAAAAAAAAAAGTTAGTTTTTCTTGGTATGCATTTATTTTTTATTTTAATCAAAAAACATTTGCCCAAACCTTTTTTTATTTATATGAACTAGTTGTGACATTTGAATTTAATATGAACACAAGACATGTTGTGTTCATATTAAATTTTATTTAATATGCAGTTTAAGATCTTGTATTCTGTCATTACTCGTTATCAAAAGTAGTTGTTGGTCCTGTTGCACCGATGTCCAGCATAAATTGGAAGGATATAAGTATTTTTTTTACAAAATGACAATAATCAGAACTAAGTCTGTATATCTTTATGCAATGCAAACTTATCAACCTCAGATGAACAATAAAAAATATTCAGTTGAAACTATAAGAATTTATAAGGTTATTATTCAATCTATAGGTTATTATTCTATTCAATTTTATAACATGAGTCAAATAATTATATTTTAACTTATGTGTGCTAAAACATATTCTATATCTTGCCTGCTATTGAACTATGGTAAATCAGAAAACAAACTTTAATAAGTTACCCTAAACTTTCTAAGAGACAAGGATTAAATCTATAAGTTAATCTAATAGGGTAAGAATGCCTATAAAATTTTGCAAATGGGCCCCAAAAGAATCCATTTACTTTATAATAATTTTAATTTTTTTATTTTTTGAAATTCAAAGAGAAAATTATTTAAAAAAAACAATAACAATTTCACTCCCAAAAAGGCTACAAGCAATCACTTTAAGTTCACAAGGTTTGGAGAAGAAAACAAAGAAAAGAGTTAAAGAGGAAAGCAGTTGACATAAAAAAATGTAATCTGTATGAGTCAGGAAAACAGGAGAGAGTTCCCTATCACCAATGTATGAGAAAAAACTAGATTTTTTACAAGTTTTTAGCATGAAAGAATATTTGCAGCTAAAGGATGCAACTTAGCTGAACAAGTCACGCAAGATTAAGTTTTGATTGATGGAATGAGGTGATAGCTTGCTTAAGCAGCATTCATGAGCAGTATCTGATAAAAAGAGAAAGATATGCATTCTTTTGATGAAAGGTCAGAGACTCAAGCTTAGGAGCCAGAGCAGGTCCAACAACATTTACAAAACGTTTAAAATAGTATTATAAATAGAGCAGGTCCAACAACATTTACAAAATAGTTTATAATAATTAAATAGTATTCCATTAAATTCTTTTCTCTGACTTATTTTTAGTTTAGTTTATTTATAGTTTTTTTTGTGATTAGCCTTTACCAAAAATACATTTATAAGATTTTAGTTTTTGATGTTGTTGATAATGGTTTATATTGTATCAATAATAAATACACACAATATAGATTTCTTAGCAAAAGTTAAAAAATATTTTATTGTTTCACAGTTCCTTTTTCAATATTATAATACAATTAATATCATATATATTAATATCATGTTTATCATGTATATATATGTTTAGAATCCAAAAAAACCTTTTACTTGTTGTTTTAAATGGTTTTCTTCACTTTTCTGTTAAAATTTTGTATGTGTGTGTGGAGAGGAGAGGGGGAGATGCAAGATAAAGGTATTTTTAACTTTTTAAAAATTTATCATACTGGCACCATTTAAGCAATTTAAATTACAAATTATCATACAGGAACCAATACATAAGAGATGAAAAAAAAAATTTTTACAGAAATTTTTATAAAAATACCAACCAATCATAAAAAATACAACCAATAACAATCATAAAAATGCAATTAAAAAAATAAATACCTAGCTGCTGAATTAGTGATTTACAATTTTTTTTTGAATCAGAATTACTGATCCCAGAAAGCACTGCATTAATCTTTGTTTTTTTAAGTCTAAAATGCAAAAGCCAACATTACTTTTTACCAAGCATTTATTTAATAAAATATAAAAAATATGTCTGAAAGAATCTTTATTTTAAAAACAAACAAAACTAAGAAAAGAAAAAAACAATTAGGAATTCCTATTTATTAGTAAACTTATTTGTGATGTATCCTATTAAAAAAGAACCTTTGAATTCATTTAAATCTAACAATATTTCTGTTTTTTTCTATAACCTTTAATGTACTACAAAAATTGTCACAACATTAAAAACTAAAAATTTTTTTTTCACCTGAAAGTCACTTTTATAATTTTTTTTTTAATTTAAAACATTCTATCAAAACATAAAAAAAACTAAAAAAAAAATAAGGAAAACCACCTGTATATAGTATATATATAGCTGTATATAGTATATATTTTATTGTATAACAATATAATTTTGTAACTGTAATATAAAAACACAAAATTTGAAAAGGTTCAATAACCTTTTCAAATTTTGTGTTTTTATATTACAGTTACAAAATTATATTGTTATACAATAAAATATATACTATATACAGCATATATTAAGGGGGGTCCAAAATTCTATATTTTTTGTTTAACCAATTATTCTTAATTAATTTTCTAAGAAAAGTCCAATAAACAATTCAGTTTTTTTTTTTGTCGTTGACCTTCTACTTCAATTTTTAACATTTTAAAAATATTAAAAAACTTTAAAACTAGAAATCTTTGCAGCATATTCTTTGCGTATAAAGTTACACAACTTTATGTTAAAACTTATGCAATTTAAATTTTGATCGGACTTTGAATTAAAATGAATAAAAGTTGGGTTTAAACTAAAATAAGTCTTATCTAGTGTAAAAACTTGTTTTGATTTTCTTTGCTAGAAAATACTTTGCTATTAATTTTTTGAACTGAATTTAGATACCAATTAAAATAAAAATATTGCAACAAGAAATAACAAACTAATAAATAAATCATAAACTAATAAACAAATAAATCAAAATTACTAAACTCCATTAAAAATCTCCCAGTAATTGACAAATTTTATCTTATAAAGTTGCCTTTACTCAGGGTTATTTTTGTACTTGTCTTTAATAAAGTCAACAATAAATTATCTTTTGGAAATTTTCATTAAATAAGATTGACTGCTCAGTAGTCATAGAAGCAGTTCGTTCATATACATAAAAAACTTGAATGTTTGTATCATCCTTGTGTTTAGTAAAATTTTTAGCTATATTACTTCAACAGAAAATAAAAAAGTATTATGGGTAATAGATTGGTATTATGGGTTTGGAAATAGATACAATGATCGAATAACTGATATATATCATTTTTAATCAGGTCTTTGCAATTTATAAAACCATTACAAATAACATTGAACTTGAGCGTCAGCATGGCACTCATTGCAATCGACTTCAGAAATACCGTTGATTACAAAAATTCCTCAGGATAATTTAGTTAAATATCCAAATCATTATGAAATCAAGAGTTGGCTAATTTAGAAATATTTCAGGAAATGCGCCTCATTGTTAAAAAATTTAGAAATATAAAATACAGTCAGAGACAGAAACTACTGAGACAGAGGGGGTTAACAAAAAAAGAACTGTAAGCTTAGGCATCAAAAAGATATTTTTTTTTTTTTTATTTGCATTCACTCCCAACAAGGCTGCAAGCAACCACTATTAAAATGGGAGTTACTAGGAAAAAAAAAGAACAGAGTTATAGAGCAAGGAAACGGTTGACAGAAGACTTGAAAAGTTGAAGGTTGTATGAGTCAGGAAAACATGAAGATGGGAGAGAGTTCCAAAGAATTGAAGTGCGGGGAAAAAAACTAGATGAATAAAAGTTTTTAGAGCATGCAGGGACAGATACAGTAAACGAATGAGACTTAGCTGAATGACGAGTAAAACTAGAATGAATTTTAGTTGATGGAACTAGAGATGATAACTCCTTTGAGCAGTGACCATGATAGTATTTGTAGAAAAGAGAAAGAGATGCAACTTTACGACGATGGAAAGAGGTTCAAGCTTAGCAGATAGTCCAGGTCCAACAATATTTACAATGCGTTTTTGGACCTTGTCAAGAAGAGAAAGTGAATCGTTAGAAGAACCAGCCCAAATATGACAACAGTACTCCATACAGGAACGAATAAGAGATTTGTAGAGGTAGAGAATGGAATCAGAAGTAAGGAAATGGCGAGCACGATAAAGAGAAGCAACCTTAGCAGAAGCTAGTTTAGCAATTGATTGTATATATGGTTTCCATGAAAGGTCAGTAGTAAGCAATAATCCAAGAAGACGTAAAGAGGACGACTCAGTAAGAGGATTGCCATTCATTAATATTGGAATGTTGACCATATTACAGTAGTTGTTTGCAGTAAGCAATTGGGTTTTTTCAGAGTTGAAATTCACAAGCCACTGTGAACCCCAATCTATTACTGAAGTGAGATCAGATTCAAGATCAGCTGCTTGTTCTAGGCAATCGAAAAGAGAAGACTTTTTGTCAAGACAGGAGTATAAAGTTGAGTCATCAGCAAAAAGAGCTACTTTAGATGAAAGGTTGTCAGGAAGATCGTTTATGTAGATAAGAAACAAAACAGGGCCCAGGATGGAAGTTTGGGGAACCCCAGAAGTTACTGGAAATAAAGAAGAGTGTTGACCTTCAAGGATGACTTTAATAAACTGGTTAGAAAGAAATGATTTGATAATCTCAAAAACTTTCCCAGAAACACCATATGAAGCAAGTTTATGGAGAATATCAGCATGCCAAACTTTGTCGAAAACTTTAGATATGTTGAGAGCAATAGCTCTAGCCTCACCGCCTCCATCTAATGCACGATAAAATCTTTCAGTTACAGCAGTTAGCAAGTCGGCCGTAGAGCGAGAGGATTGAAAACCGTATTGATTGTCTGACAGCAGTTTATTTGACTCAAGATGAGATGTGAGGAATTTGTTGATCAAAGACTCAAAGACCTTGCTAATAACAGAAAGAAGACTGATCGGACGATAATTGGAGGGGTCAGAATTTTCTCCAGAGTTTTTGAATATTGGAATCACAGATGCCATTTTCCAACAAACAGGAAAACAAGACTCAGTCAAACACTTGTTAAATAGTTTAGAGAGAATTGAAGAAAGTTCTGGAGAACAATTCTGCAAGACTGTGACAGGAATGTTGTCTGGACCACAAGCTGTAGACGAGTTTAATTGAGATATGACTTTAGCAACAGAAGCCGGAGTGATTTGAATGTCTAACAATGGGTCAACCTGTTTGACTGGAATGGAAGGAAGAGAATGTCCATAAGATTCAAGAGTGGAATTAGAAAAAAAGTTCTTTGCAAATAGTTCTGCCTTATCCTTGGGAGAGGTAATAAGATCAGTCCCATGAATGAGAGATGGAATGTTAGATCTACCCTTGTTAACAATGCTGTTGATGATTTTCCAAAAGTCTTTAGGGCCTAACTTCTGCGATAAGATGCGAGATTTAGTGAACTGAGAATAATGGAGTTTAGCATCAGAAAGCACCTTTTTACATCGATTTCTTGCAATAATAAATTGCCGTTTGTTCTCAAGAGAGTTGTTCTTTTGAAAAAGATGAAAAAAATGATTTCGATTGGATATAGCAGCCGCACAAGAAGGAGAAAACCATGGAGTAGAATGAGGCTTGACTTGAAACCGACGAGAAGGAATAAAAGCTTCCATTCCAGCCTGAATCCAGAAGGTTACGTAGGAGGCGCATTTGTCAGCTGAGAGAGAAAAAATATCAGCCCAAGGACCATCACGAAGAAAATCACGAAAGAAATCCCAGTCAACTTTAGGGTAGTAGTAGGTGGTGCGATGATAAGGTGAGCCCAAAAAAGAAGTACGAGAAGAAAGATTTATAGAGATCATTGCATGGTCAGAACCACCTAAGGGAGAAAAGGGAGAAACTGAACATAAGCTAGGGTCAGAGACAAGACATAAGTCAAGGAGTGAAGTTAAATGATTAGGGTTGTCAGGAAAACGAGTCACAAAGTTAACTATCTGAGTAAGAGATTGAGAAACGCAGAAGTTAAAGGCTTTAGTGCCAGCAGGATCAGTGGTGTTAGAGCCAAGCCATTCAGTGTGATGGGCATTAAAATCACCAACAACAACAATATTGGCAGAGGGGTAAAGAGAGAGGGCATGGTCAATTTGATCAGAGATAACATTTAAAAGAGTGCAATCATGGGAAGAAGGAGAGCGATAAAGAACAAAGAGAAAGGTGATAGAGTGAAGAGGTGCTAGGCGAAAGCACATAAAAGAATGGTCAAAGGATTCGAACCTGATTTCACGACAAATAGGGGAATTAATGCGTATGTATACCCCTAAACCTAGCATGTGACTATTGGAGTCTTTACGAATCAAAGGATAGTACCCATCAACACTGACATCTGAAGAAGGAATTGCAGAACTTAAATTTGTTTCACTGAGTGCAAGCAAGTCTGGTGAATTTTGCAGGAGGTAAAACTCAACTGATGGAAAGTTGCTTCATAGACCGCGAATATTTGTAAAAGATATATTAAAATATTTAGGTGGTGGGGATGGTTTTTTAGGTTTTAAATTTTTGGTTACTTTGGTCATGATTTGGGTTTAATGAGAACTAGACTCATTCATAGATAGAGCACAGCCTCCTTATCAATGAGCTATGCAGTTGTCTCAGTCCTGTTAATTAACCCTAAGCCGTGACATAGGGCTCCTTATGTGGTCTTGACAATGCACACCAAAAGCATTAACAGGGACACCATCCATGCGCAACATGGCACTGTTAATACTCTGATATTTTGCAGCTGTTGATGGAATCAGCCTCTCTGAGAGCTACCACAGAGTTCGGGAAACCTTACTACCAGCCAGCCTCAGAACCATTAAACTGAGTTTTAGAGTTGTACCCTCATATGGAGATAACAGGAAGAGTTGCATAGCCATTATCAAGGAGGCATAAGCAAAATTCTATGAGTAGAGTCAAGGAGATCCAGCATTCATCATCCAAGGCAGGA